TGATAATTTCAGCCCTGGGTTGAAACGATTACATGACAAAATTTTCAACCCAGGGCTGAGTTCAACCCCGGGGTTGAACTCAGCCTTGGGTTGAAAATTTGGTCATGTAATCGCGCATTTGATATTGATAGAATTTTGTATTACAGACTGGGCTGAAATTTCAACCCGGTAAATAGAGCCGAGTTTAACCCCGAGGTTGAAAATGCTCCGTGTAATCGGCCCCTAAACTTTTCGCGCTCGTATTCGAATTTTCCGCTTAGCTCGGGGAAAACCTTAAATCTTAATTGAAATAGCTGTGTACTGTATGTATCATGTGTGATCATGTACAGTAATGTGCGTATTTATATAGCCCCAGCGAGTTAACGCTCCGTAGAGCGTCCTCCGTAGAGTGCCCAAAAGATAATATCCTCATACATACTTACTCTTTCGGGCTCAAGTAGTATGTAGTAATCAAAATTTTCATCTCTCTTTAAATTCCATGGCGGTTCTTCTGAATCATCAGTTTGTAGTAACTCACAATTTTCTTTCCCTTCACACGTTTTTCTGAAGTTAGCAGATCTGCATAATTTATCCTGAAGCAGGCATTGTAAGATGCAATCCAGTCCCGACACTGCGTGAACATATGTGATCACCTTAGTGTCCAAACGATAACCTTTTTAACGGTAAAATTAGGGGAAGAAAGATGGTGACTAATATTGAAAATAATGTTTGATTGGGTTGGTTATACTTTCCACAGTTATTGGGTCTAGAAGTCTAAATGGTTTGTGGATGCACACTTGTATAAGTACTCATTCCGCATGACGGTTTGATTAGTCTGTTAGTGTAATATGCAAAATACCCTTCTGAAAATTTTGGCATTAACGGATGGTCATCAATACAGAGCTTATTGGAGGTGCTTTCATTACCAGAAGTTAGCGAAAGAATAGCCACCATTGCATGTATACCATGACTTGCATTCTATCCATACTTTTAACGCCTCCAACTTTAACAGTCAATTGCAATACATATATACAGGGACGTCGCTATAGGGGCGGGGGGGGGGGGGCTGTAACAGCCCCACAATAATTCAAACGTTGGTCAAAGTTGGTCACAATGGAACTGATATTTGTCCAAAGTTGGTCAGAAAGGAACTGATATTTGCTTAAAACTCGGAACAATTTAGTCAAAGTTTGGGGTAAAAGATGGTCGAAGTTGCTTAAAGTAATGAAATGGTTGGCAATTTTAAAAATTTTAAAGCTTTTGTTATATTTGCGGTTAAAAAAATTTGAAGCCTTGCTTACATATCTTGGTCGAAAAATTTTGAATATGCTTATGTTAGTCCGGAAAGTTTTTTAGACCCTCTCCCCCCCGTCCACAACAATTTCTGGAAAAATTTGTAAGACTTGTTCAAAATCCTAGGAAATGTTGGGCAAAACATGACGACATGTACACTCCCCAATGCTGATGGCTTCACGACGTCCCTGCATGTATAGTAGAAATAGACGCGTGACATAAAATTGCAGCTGCGGGAAGCTCGGCGTGGACTGTAATGGGCTGTCATGAACTCTCATCAACTTTGAGCTTAATCACATTTTGATGATAGTTGATCATGATGGGTGGTTTTACTGCCCGCGCGACATTATCCTGTTTATTCTCATAAACTCTCTTTCAACTCTTGTTGTCGTTTGACCGGACCATGACAGTTGAAAAAATTTCAAGCAAACTCTCGCCTGGCAACTGCCATCAATTCTCATCCTCGTTTTATCGGGACTGTATATTGTTAGGGAACAATTAAGAAGTTTTTAACAAAACTCACCTTCTTTTGACCCATCGAAGCAAAAGTCAAGCCCTTCGCCAGAGGATTGCAAATTCAAAAATATGATGAACCAAAAACTCAGAATGATAGGACCAAAACGGAAACTCCAGTGTTTGAAAGATTCCCGGCAAACCTCTTTTAGTACGTTCTGTTGAACAACTGGTGTCATTTTTGTGTAGAGAATGCGTGTCCCTTGGCCTATCGTCAAAAATGTTTGTCGTTTTAGTATTTATTAATTCAATACCTGTTGGTAGACAGTATCAGCACCAAAGTGCATCAGTATGTCTATTCACTTGACTGACACATTAAATTTCTACAACTCGAGCATTGCCTGCTGCAGTTACAACACAGTGCATAAGTAGAATGTCATAAATGAAACGATTGATGGAAATTATAGCGTTTAATATCCTTGAGCAGCATCGCTAAGTATATCTGTTTATTTTAGTAATTTTCCTTGAGTTAAGTAAATTAAATTTGTCGAGAAAAACGCGCGTTTGAATAATTTACTCGTCGGTGTCGATGTTTAAACAAACATACATCCTGTTGTCGATTCCTCATTTTAATTTGTCATAATTATTATGGAAAAGCAATATTTCACACATGTTGCAATAAGTTTCTAGATCTCGTGAATTTCTAAATTTTGTATATTGTGTATAAAAATAGGGCGAATGTTAATTATTGTATACATTTTTAAAGATAGTTTTTGAGATAGTGTGCAAATTTTGCTCCTACATGCAAATGTGGCACTGTGTTCCATATTTTAAACTAGACGAAACGACTTCTATCATGTTTTCAAATTGTTTCATAACTTAGAAGAAATTAAAACTATACTAGGGCAAATAACGAGGGCGTTCTCCCCGTACAGTTAAGTATGCATTAAAACAAATTTGTATTAATAACTTTTGTAAGATGGAGATACGAAGACTATAGACTACTGTCACACTGGGTAAGCTATATAAGAGCTTTCTGGCGTAAACGCTCCTGTAAGTTGTATATATTTAGTTAGAAAACGTTCTGATTAAAGTTATCAAGAGAAATTATATTCGTATCCCAATTAATTATCTTAGAGTCTAGTTTCCAATTTTTTTGGCAAAAGTCAAACAATTAGTTGCATAATTTATAGTGAATGACTGCATCAGGAAGCCAGCTTTTCGTATATTGTAAGTTATAAATATATTATACTGCAGCTTGGCCAGTTTAATAACTACAGCTCAACTAACAATTAACAAAAGCCACAACTTCAATCATAGGAGTACGGGGCTGATGCTTTCCGGGGGGGAGGGGGGCAGTTGAAAATTTGCCCGAATTTTCATGGAGAATTGCAATGAAATAACCTGATTTTAACGTATTTTCTGATAAATGTCATAAATGGGCCCGAATTTTCTTGATTTTCCCTACCAATTGCCCGAATTTCCACTTGCACTTATAATACATTATAATACATGATTGTTACAAGAAGTATATAAAATAAAGCTCAATTTGTACCATGAATTTGTGAATTTATACTTTGTCGTTATAGTTAAATTAAAACAAACATTCCTTGCGACCGTATTTTATTCCCACAAGGAAATCAGACTAACAAATGCTTCTAGCAGTAGCCAATCATGACAAAGTTTGTAAGCAAAATCAATCATGCAGAGCTGCAAGACGAAAATATGCAAATTATTTGTGGCAAATTTAAAATCTGTTCGGAGCTTGGGGGTGCCATTTTGACACGAAGTATAGCAAATATGCATTTTAAACTAGTCCATAATTTCACTTCTATGGTCCGTTTTCGAAATAAAATGGCTATGCTACGTAGATAGACAGATTAATATTAAATTTAGGTATGTTTTAAACGTATATGAGCTGTTTCTGTTAAGTTATATGTATAGTTGTTGTTTCAAACGCCAAGCTATACATCTTCACTGAATTAGTTTGCAATTGCTTCGCGTTGAAGCGCTTGGTTGTCATAATGTTCAGATACATCTGCTGTGATTTGCATGACTCATAGTTGCTTTATACCTACTTTTTCAGAGCAAGTATTTGACGAGAAATATGACAGATTCAAGTCGCCGACCTGTCGAAGGCTCGAAGCTCGTGGTAAGCATAATGTCCATAATCAAAGGCTTTTGCTTGTTGTTTGCCATTGGCATTTTAACAGTTCCCTACCGAACTAGAGCGTTTCGTAGCATTGTTAAAACTTTCTGAATATTTGGAGTTAAAGTCGACTTTCTTGAGAATCTTGTACGAAATGCTGAATAATTTTAGAAAAGTTAAATCAAACGTGCAATCAAGGCACATATGTCAAACTTTCTAGCTTTCAGACGCTTGTAGTTTATGTACAAATTGTACTAAGATAGGAAAATGCTAAGCTTTTCAAGTTTTTTAAGGTTGAACATAATCGTAATTTTCTTACGAAATCCAGAGATGAAATGCGCTGGTGGCTCGTGTCTTAGCAATTAAATGAATGTACGCAATCTAGCCTTCAAATTGCATTGCTGGGAATATTTAGTCTACTGTCTACAGATGCCCATGCGCAAAGTTTGGTTGGTTCGCTGTTGTTCTTTATACAGATTTCGAAAACACGACGCGAAATTGCAAAAACGTCTGGCTTCCTTTGAAACAAAGATATTCTTCATGCAATACAAAAAGTTTGAATAATTTGTGGTCCCAGGGGTCACTGAAATAAGATTTTTACGCCACTGGAACAACGTGAATGCTGGTTGCGACGTTGTAGGGAGTGACATAAAATCTGTTTCATAGCAGACATGCACTGGATTGTTTTCTCCGAACTTAATTTAACCGTCTCTAAAATATTCCAATTGGAAATAATAAATAAATATTACAATCGTAATTTCTATTGGTAATTGGCCCATTTTCCAATTTGAATAAATTGAAATTCCAATAGGAATTTGGAATTTCCTATTAATCCATTGAAAGTCGGAGAGAAAAACTGATTCCAATTGGGAATTAGCCCAAATACCAACTTTGGAAATGGAAATGCCACTTATTATTCTACTTGTGTATCAGTTTTCCAAACCAAACACGAAAGGGCATAAGCGTTCAGTATGATGCAAATATTGGAAGGGGGAAGGGGTGGGGGGGGGGGGCGGCACTCCACGATATTTCTAGACTAACTAGCAAGTTTAATCAGGAATTTTAGTTAGAATGTATTTGGAATCTGTTGAAGGAATCCAAAGCAACCGAAAAAAACCACAACTAATTTCGGTAGAACGCTGACTGACTCTTTTCACATAAGTATCATGTGTCTGCATCAAGAGTCGACGCCCCAAAGTTATTCAATTTTTGGAGGTTTTTGAGTTACATTCTAAGGAATTTTGCGGTGATAGTTCATGAAAATGTAAATTTAGGCTACAGTCAAACGCAAGTTACACGATAGTTAACTTTATTGTAACACACTTACTAATTGCGGAAAATGCTGCGCGTTCTACAAATTTAACGTAAAATATATTACAACAAAAGAAAATCTACAATAAATTATCAATTCTATACTACAACAGATTATCAACTCAAGTACAGTTATCAACTCAATCTATATCGTACTTCACTAATACAGCTTAAATAAGTTACTCTTGGGCTCAATTAGCCTGACTACAAACTGCATTATGCTGTAGTAACGCAGTCCGAAAATTTGCGACATTGCTTGTCGATCGCCTCCCATTTGCGCTACTCAGATCTGATTGGCTGAGTTCTGAGGTCTAGAAATTTCTGATTTTGAACAAAGCAAACAAATCTCTTTGCTCTCTGAAATTGCCGCTATTTTCAACTTCTTGTTGATTTAATTTGTTCAATTGGGTAACTCACATTCTGCATTACATCAGTTACATTTTTTCACCGGAAATTTAGTATTTTGATGGATGGATAGAGAGAAGTAAAATTTACAATGAACATCGTGTGTCAAGAGGATATTATTTCGATTTTGAGAGTCGAAATCAAACATTCGTTGATATTTAAGTCCAGCCAGTCAGATTCGGTGGGAAAGAGGTTAGCGCACTTGCCTTTCACCTCTAAGGCCGCAGGTTCAAGCCTCCGCGGGAACTTTCCCAATGCGACTCGAACTCAGTCCTCATGTGAAAAAGAGTAAAAGTCAACGCTCTGCCGAAAGTCGTGGGTTTTTTCCGGGCACCCCGATTTCCTCCCAGAGGGAAAGTTGACAGAGTGGGTCAGGTAAAGGGCCCACAGTAATTGGCATATGCTGTTCTTGTGACCCTGCCGTAGTTGGCAAAGCTAAATAAATAAATAAATAAATAAGTACATTGAGTACAGTTGTGACCAATCAAAATCGAATACCCAAATCTGTTAGCACTGCTAGGGGTCGACAACCAATGCCACAAATTTTCGCTGTTGCAACCCTACATATGCAACCCAAGTATGCAACCCTATTGTCTCGAATGAACTGATTAATCCTACCGAGAACAATGGATGTGATCATACAATACCTAATGAAAATGCCTCTACTTCATTTGAAAGAGTAGAACCTATAGAATTGTCGAACGATGTGTCTACTGCATCTCGTCCTATATCAACTAATGATTCAATTGGCGCTGAACAAACTAAAGTGGAAGGAGATCAGGTGACATATGCAAAAGTAGCAGCATCTTCTCCAGTCTCTAAAAATCGTAAATCTATGGCAATGCCTAAAATGAACAAAATACCCACATCTAGCCCCCAGAATTCACAACGTGAAATTGACGAGTTGTCTAGTGACCTCGATGGCTTTATTGGTGTCAAACGAAATAGAAGTAAAACCAAGAAATTTCTCGTAACAGGTATAGACGAGAATGTGAAAGAAAACCAAATCTTATCTTTTCTTAATAAACGAAATATAATCCCGACTTATATTTCCATTTTCAAAAGTCGACGCAGGGGAACAATCTCATCTAAGATCCATGTTCCTTCGGCCGTCAGTTCACTGCTTCAGGAAGATAATTTCTGGCCTAAATACATAAGTTGTAAGCCATGGAAATCGAAAGAAACACAAACTATGTGGTCAAAGAAAAGTAGCACCCATCTTGGGAAATATTCAACCTACGTATAATGGCTCATATTCCAGTTATAATCTCATCACGTAATTATAGATATAAACGAAATAGGCGCAACCTTACCAACCTAATTACTTTAAACATTTCAAAACGGAATCCTAGACCGACTAATCAAACCGGTAATAAAACATGCATCTAACATGCCAACTATCCTCCTAACGAACATATGTCACATTTCGAACAAAGTTGACGATCTACACGCTATTGTTGAAATGAACAGTCCCTCCTTGATTATGATTACAGAGTCCTGGCTGAATACAAATATACCCGACTCTGCTATAAGCATTGGAAGAATGCTCAATACCTATCGGCGGGATCGACTTACACCAGGAGGGGGTGTATTAGCATATGTGAACGCTTGTATACCAACTACAGGTCTAAAAAATTTAGAAGAAGATAACAGAGAGGTCCTATGGCTGCTTCTTAAACACCGCAGAACCCCTAGGCCTTTTAGCGTTATAGTGGCAGTTGGCGTCTACTTCCCCCCAGGGCAGTCGGCAGAAAGTGAACTGATTGAGTATATTACTAGGGGACTTGATTCTGTCTTACGAGATTACCCGTCTGCTGGTGTATGCATAATGAGAGACTTCAATCAAATGAAGCTGAGTAGACTATGCAGAAGATTTAACTTGAAGAAGTCTGTAAAAGCACCGACAAGAGGCACCAGAGTTTTGGACCAAATACTAACGAACATGTCAGATTTATATAAAGAAGTGGTGCACCTGCCTCCAGTTGGTCGCTCTGACCATCAATGTTTGTTGTATAGTCCCAAAACAATACAAACCGTGAAGCCTTCTACTCGAAAAGTGCGCCTAACGAAACCATGTAACCTAAATGCACTCGGCCTAAAATTAAACCTTGAGGACTGGAAATCAATATTTGAGGCTCGAGATATCAATAACAAAGTTAGTCTTTTTACAAATACTATAATAGACATATTAGATAAAACAATACCTGTAACCACGATACGTACCCATGCGTCTGACAAGCCATGGATGACGGCTTATATCAAAAAGAGATTAAAGCGAGGCAAAAAAGCCTATAATACTGGGAACATGACCAAATATAGACAATTGGGTGATAAGATCATTACACTTATCAAGAAAGCTAAAGCAGAATTTTATTCATCTAAGGTCAAAAGCAAACGCAAACACGATGCAGCAAAATGGCATAGAACGATATCCCAGTTAGCTGGCTTTGAAGGTGACAATCTAAACAACAACTTAATCTCAGACAGCACTCCCGATACAGTGGAAATACTGCAGAATATATTTACTAAACCATGGTCAAAACTTCCTGAAACCATAATCCCTAGTCTTGAAGACGTAGCGTCATCACTGAGGCAAGAAAATACTCCTACTCCCTCAATTGGACAGGTTAAGACTGCCTTGAAACAACTAAACTCTAAAAAAGCCAACGGGTCCGATGGGATTCCAGCATGGGTGCTTAAACGATACTGTGAAGAACTAGCGCCCATCGTTCATGACATTATTTGCGCCAGTATAAAAGAATGTGAATATCCAACTGAAGGTCAATCCACCTAGAGATATAGAGAATGACTTTCGCCAGATATCCATTCTTCCCCAAATGGCTAAAGTGCTGGAAAAGCTGCAGCTCAAACTGAACCTTCCCAGTTCACGTATAAATGATAATCAGCATGCCTTTACAAGCAAACGATCAACCGTGTCCGCACTCACCAACATCTCGCAGAACTGGTTTAATGTGACCGACAATACTCATAGCGCCAAAAATGGAGTTCATGCACTATTCATAGATTTTCGCAAAGCATTTGACCTTGTTGACCACGGAATTCTACTTCGTAAGCTCGCAGAAATGAATGTAACCAAAGCCTTTTGGCTATGGACGCGTAGTTTTCTGGAAGATAGAAGACAACAGGTCAAACTAGCAGGAACCCTATCATCGGTCAAACCTTGTCCTGCAGGAGTCCCACAAGGTTCTGTGATGTCCCCCGCTCTTTTTAATATTCACATTAACGATATTGAGAACTCAATCTCAGATGGATTATCCATAAACATATGCAAATACGCGGATGATTGTACACAGGACGAAGTGGTGTCACAAGGTTCATCCAGCCATATGCAGGAGGCCCTTGAAGCAGTACAAGAATGGTCTAATAGGAACAAAATGACGATAAATTCGAAGAAAACAAAAGATATGTGGATATGTTTTAACACAGCAATGCCGGTACCAGAACCATTGGTCATTGGAAACGAGGTAGTGGAAAGAGTAAATTCTCATAAACTGTTGGGTGTCTGGCATCAAAACAATTTGAAATGGAACTGTCATGTTAAGAATATTGTAAGGAAAGCAAATAAACGAATGTTTAGTCTGAGAGAATGCCGTAGGGCGAATCTTCCTCCTGAGGTCGGTATTACATGTTATGAATCCAAGATTAGACCTGTTTTAGAATATGCAGCTCCGATATGGGGTGGTTTACCACAATATCTCATTGATGAAATAGAGAGCATTCAAAACAGATGCATCAAAATCCTCGGCACATCTCGGTGCAACTTGGAAACGCTAGAACAAAGAAGGGCACACCTAACTGTTAAGGAATACCAAAGAATTCTAAGTGATCCGACCAACCCATGTAATAAACTTATCCCCCAACCTTTTACCCATGAACACGATCTAAGAACAACAAGTAATCTACCATATGTTGTATCGTATACTAAAAGACACCGGCAATCCTTTATACCTAGAGCTATATCCCTTTTAAAACAGTCCTAAATTAATTTTATAGAATATATAACTAGTATAAACATTTTTAGCAACATTGATGTAAATAATAGTAAAATTTCTTCTTATCAATTTTAACCTTAGCACTTCTTGTAAATCCATTGTACTTTTTTAACCAAAGATGGATATTAAATGTTATTAAAATACGAAAACTTGCTGAAGATAATGTATCCGTCAAAGAATCGATTCAAGACTCGCTGCAGGCTCCAATGTCCATGCTCGAAGGACTGATTATGAATTTAAAACTTAAAGAAGATCAGTTTTCTATATTCCAGGCGTCAAAGAGCGATGACATGGAAAACCTGTGGGCAAATATTTTGAAGATAGACCCAACCATGACCCGACAATGTACAACAAAGAAGTCAATAGAGAAGAAGCAGTTGTTTAATAAGTTTCTTGAAACCCATTGCAGAATACGACATTATATGTTCAGCATAAAAAAATGTGGTAAAGATAGCTGCACCATTTGCAAGGCACCCAGACTACCAGCTGAATTGTTCAACGAGATACACCACTTACCAGATCCAGAACCAATTCGACCCGACCACAACAAGCCATTTGATGATGTGTACGGCCAGAAAACCTCGGAAAAGTACCGTCCGTCTTTAGTTCAGAGAAACCAAAGCAATCATGGAATGCCCTTTTCACCAAGTGCTCAGTGTGCCAAGAATGTCGGAATTGTGGTTCAATGTCAAGATTGTGACAAATGGAGATGCCTGTATTCCAAGAAAAAGATTTCCCGTAAACTGCATGGTAAAGTTGAAAGTGCGTTGGAGGATTTGTCCTACACATGTGGCAGTGTGTTCTCGGATTTGGAGGATGAAGAAATGAGAGGGGTTTTTGATTCAGTGTTTGTGAAGGCCAGTCTCGATTGCAGTCAACCAACAGAAAAGCCTTGGTATGCAGCAGGTTTTGAAGACATTTGCTTCTTTTGTGGCGTTGAAGACGATCATAATACCAATCCCGAAAGCTATCCACTATGTGAAGAGTGCAAGAAAACTCGCAAACCAGAGAAGCGATCATCAAGAAAGAAGTCTAAAAAAACTTGAAATTTGGCTACAAGTGACAAAGGCTATAAAATTATGTTCAGTAAATTATTAGTCATATACTTTATGGTTCATATTATTAAATGTTTTTATTTCTTTAATAAATGTTTCATTACGCATCAGTTCTGCGCTATCAGAGTACAACATGGTCTCGTATTTAGGCGTAGAAGTTAAAATGGCTCTTGACTGTGACTATTTCTTGCGTAGACAAAATGTGTGAAATGGAAGACAATCTTTTAATCCGTTTTTTAATAAAAGGGGAAATATACTACTTACGCTATTAAAAAATAAATAATAAAAAAAATTAAAATCCGCCCGCCCCCCGTTTTTCAAAAAATCTGATGAAAAACTGAAAATTATTTTTAATTGGCCTAAATCACGGCGCAACGCAAAATATAGCCTTTGCCTCTGCCGGAATAATTAAGAGTCCTTTTAGTGGAAACTCCTGTGCCAGAAAGATGTGCCATCTTTTGCTGGCAGGTTATGAAGATGCTCCATCTTTTCTTAACCAGTGGAAGCTAAATAGGAATCTGTGTTATTCCTTGTATACAGTGCAGTACATATTATACTATAAAATACGGCGCAACGCAAAATATAGCCTCAGTTGGCTTTGCCTCTGCCGGAATAATTAAGAGTCCTTTTAGTGGAAACTCCTGTGCCAAAAAGATGTGCCATCTTTTGCTGGCAGGTTATGAAGATGTTCCATCTTTTCTTAACCAGTCGAAGCTAAATAGGAGTCTGTGTTATTCCTTGTATATACTAAATAGCCTATAGTATGTTGTCCCCGAGCCGGCGGCGCGAAGCGCCGTGCGAGGGTACTAATTCCCCCCGGCTATTTACACCCGGGGAAACGAAAGCATTAGCGGAGTCTAAAGTTCATCAAATATCGCGGGCGTGGGTGACCAACGGTGTTGAGTGGGTGGTCATCCTCACTGATCTCAAACATATGGCGGACTGTCATGGATAGCGAACACTGATTGGTCAAATTTAAAATTTGTTGTTGTATGACAAATGACGACTTCAACTGACAGATACTCCATGAAAATAATTTGCTTTTTACACTACAGTATTTTGTACGTTTGCAAAAAACTTTGACAGCTTTCAAAGCAATTTGTTCTATAAAAAGTTTAATAAAACAATTACGGTATCAAATACCAATTGAAAAGATATGGACTACTGTATGGAGCCAAATGAAGAGCGGCAAGGAAACGACAAGAAAGCCGAACGTCTAGCGAAAAGGAGGGAGCTAGCGAAGACGACAACGTTTGCTCGAGGAGACTGCTGAGGAAAGAGAAACTCGCCTGGGAAAGCGTAGAGAAGCATGGAAAAAAAGACTGCTGAAGCGAAAGGTAAGCAAAGGCTTGTCTTCACAACGCTATGTACCAATGATACTGTAGCCATATATACAAGTTGAGGTATGATATTCGACCCTCTATATTCGACTATTTCTTCACAATTTTCCAATAAAGAGTTTGTCATGACACGCTCAAGTCAGTATAACCAGACTGTATTTTATTTATATCAGTTATCAAATACCGTCGGTGGCAACTAAGGGTGAACAGTTGCAGATAAAACATTCTCTATTCTCATTAAAAAGCCTGTAAGGGTTTCCAGTAGGTCTCTAGCCCAACACGTTCAGACCACACAAAGTTTTTTTTACTTATTATTGTACACATGGGAAACAACAATTAAGTGTTGTTGTTCTTGACAAACATTGGAGATTCTAATCACGCAAATGTTTTTATGAGCAACTGTTCATCGTTAGTTGCAAACGACGGTACAACATACTATGAACATTTTTCCGACTGTGACCGAATGTGCAACGATATAATTTTCAAAGTTGTTATCAATTCCTAAAATTTGTTTATCGTAAAACGGCCTGCTCAGCACTCACTACTCACGTTGATCTGATTTCATTTAGAAATGCAGTTACCGGGAAAGGAACTGATTCTAAAATATGTAAATTTAAAAGCATTGGCTAACAGAATAAAGCGATCGGTGAAGACAAGGTACAAACTTTTATAGTTGCTATTTGTTATAAAATCCTATAAATAACCCGATTCAACAATAATTTTGCCTCGAATTTGCATATTCTATGCTGCATATTTATATTTTATTTTTATAGTATAAAAATAAAATTGTAATACTATGAAATAAAATACATTTCTGTTTATTGACCAGTACTTATTTAATGTCTTCTTCATCCAGTGGTCAGAGTAAATTTCTACTTCTAGCAAGTAAATATTTGACAAGCAGTCTGGAATAAGCACAGGACTTTTAATGCATCAGCCAAATCCAAGTGTGCCCATCCCCCTCGCCCAGCCATTTTCCTGTAAAGCACATCCCGGGGGTTGGGCATTTCCACTCGAACCTTAGCCCCGGCGGGGCATTTGAAATTAATAATTTGGATTCTTGCACTTCACTTGTGGAATTAATATTAGAATGTTAGGGTTTGTAATCCAAGTGAGAATATATACATGTATATATTTTGTAATCCAAGTGAGAATATTTTGTAATCCAAGTGAGAATATACAAATGTATAGTACATGTATATATTTTGTGTATATATTTTGTAATCCAAGTGAGAATAGTTTGTAATCCAAGTGAGAATATACAAATGTATATATTCTCACTTGGATTACACACCCTAACATTCCAATTTTAATTCCACCAAGTAAAGTGCAAGAATCCAAATTATTGAAGTCCACCTTATCACAACCCACACACCCGATTACCTAAATATACACAAACTTACGGTTACAGCTCAACAGCTGGCCTCGGTAGCTCAGTTGGTTAGAGCGCTGCACCGGAATCGCAGGGCCATAGGTTCAATTCCTACCAGAGGACCTTGTGCTGCATTTTTTGCAGTCGTTCCTGGTTAGGTCTTAAAATGTATATATTCTCACTTGGATTACAAACCCTAACATTCTAATATTAATTCCAACAAGTGAAGTGCAAGAATCCAAATTATTGAAGTCCACCTTATCACAACCCGCACACCCGATTACCTAAATATACATGAACTTACGGTTAAAGCTCAACAGCTGGCCTCTGTAGCTCAGTTGGTTAGAGCGCTGCACCGGAATCGCAGGGCCGTAGGTTCAATTCCTACCAGAGGACCTTGTGCTGCATTTTTCGCAGTCGTTCCTGGTTAGGTCTTAAAATGTATATATTCTCACTTGGATTACAAACCCTAACATTCTAATATTAAGTCCACCAAGTGAAGTGCAAGAATCCAAATTATTGAAGTCCACCTTATCATAACCCGCACACCCGATTACCTAAATATACATGATCTTACGGTTAAAGCTGAACAGCTGGCCTCTGTAGCTCAGTTGGTTAGAGCGCTGCACCGGAATCGCAGGGCCGTAGGTTCAATTCCTACCAGAGGACCTTGTGCTGCATTTTTCGCAGTCGTTCCTGGTTAGGTCTTAAAATGTATATATTCTCACTTGGATTACAAACCCTAACATTCTAATATTAATTCCAACAAGTGAAGTGCAAGAATCCAAATTATTGAAGTCTACCTTATCACAACCCGCACACCCGATTACCTAAATATACATGAACTTACGGTTAAAGCTCAACAGCTGGCCTCTGTAGCTCAGTTGGTTAGAGCGCTGCACCGGAATTGCAGGGCCGTATGTTCAATTCCTACCAGAGGACCTTGTGCTGCATTTTTCGCAGTCGTTCCTGGTTAGGTCTTAAAATGTATATATTCTCACTTGGATTACAAACCCTAACATTCTAATATTAATTCCAACAAGTGAAGTGCAAGAATCCAAATTATTGAAGTCCACCTTATCACAACCCGCACACCCGATTACCTAAATATACATGAACTTACAGTTAAAGCTCAACAGCTGGCCTCTGTAGCTCAGTTGGTTAGAGCGCTGCACCGGAATCGCAGGGCTGTAGGTTCAATTCCTACCAGAGGACCTTGTGCTGCATTTTTCGCAGTCGTTCCTGGTTAGGTCTTAAAATGTATATATTCTCACTTGGATTACAAACCCTAACATTCTAATATTAATTCCAACAAGTGGAGTGCAAGAATCCAAATTATTGAAGTCCACCTTATCACAACCCGCACACCCGATTACCTAAATATACATGAACTTACAGTTAAAGCTCAACAGCTGGCCTCTGTAGCTCAGTTGGTTAGAGCGCTGCACCGGAATCGCAGGGCTGTAGGTTCAATTCCTACCAGAGGACCTTGTGCTGCATTTTTCGCAGTCGTTCCTGGTTAGGTCGTAAAATGTATATATTCTCACTTGGATTACAAACCCTAACATTCTAATATTAATTCCAACAAGTGAAGTGCAAGAATCCAAATTATTGAAGTCCACCTTATCACAACCCGCATACCCGATTACCTAAATATACATGAACTTATGGTTACAGCTCAACAGCTGGGCTCTGTAGCTCAGTTGGTTAGAGCGCTGCACCGGAATCGCAGGGCCGTAGGTTCAATTCCTACCAGAGGACTTTGTGCTGCATTTTTTGCAGTCGTTCCTGGTTAGGTCTTAAAATGTGTATATGCTCACTTGGATTACAAACCCTAACATTCTAATATTAATTCCAACAAGTGAAGTACAAGAATCCAAATTATTGAAGTCCACCTTATCACAACCCGCACACCTGATTATAGATATATATTTTATAAATATAGGTTTTGTGATCACTGATAACTTGATATTTATTAATAGTATAAAACAAAGCACTTCTATCTGCAACTTTTACAATCACTGATAACTTGATAATAATTTAAACCAGTCAAGTTGTAGTTTAAATAGAGAATAATACATGGGTGCATGAAATACCAGATTTATTTCGAGTGTTGATCATGAGTGTGCAGCGAACAAGTGGGCGCAGCGAACGAGTGAGATGTCATGTTCAACACGAAAAATAAATCTGGTATTTCCAACCACCCATGTATTTTTCTGTTTATTATATAAAGGACAGTCTTAAATGAAAAGCGATAATTTTTACAGAAAAGCGATAATTGAAAAGGCGATAATTTTCACATGTGAGATTATCATGAATAATTTCACATGTGAGATTATCATTTTTATCAGTGCTTGAAATCTCTGTAAAACACTATACTTTATATAATAAAAATTCATAAATTTGAACCATGCTAGAGCATGACAACAGCAAAATGCTGTATAGTATGATGCACAATATTTTGGGAGGTGAAATACAGGAACAATAAATCACAGAGTGTTTGCTTGGAACTCACTGGGGGGGGGGTGCAACACCCCTGATAATTGCTCATAAGGAATTTCAGGTAGATTTCCAGTGCACTGTTAGGTAAAATTAAGTAGATTTGCAGAAGATTTTCAGGAGAATTCAGGTAATTCTCAGGACATGAGAAAGTGAATTTGGAAAACAACTGTATTTTCGGAAAAATTATTATATGTCCTGAAAATTTTTTGTATATCTGGAAACATTTTGGTCACCCCCCTACCCCCCTCTATCTAACCTCACACACACCCTGAGACGAAGTGCTCGCAACGGCACTGAGTATACATCTTTTGAAAACAGGCGAGGGGTTATTGCATGCATGTATTTCTAGTAGTAATACTGCAACTTTGCTATACTGGTGATGAGCCTCCTAATTTTATGCTGTATACATACATTCAGTATTAAGTAATGTGTCAACATCTGGGAAACTAACTTCTGAATCTCTTACATGCAGTTGACATAATTTTTGTAAATTATAGTGCTAGATTTCAAGGTTTAATTAGTCACCATAGGCACAGGAGGGAAGTTTTGAAATTTAAAATTGAGGAGCACTTCATGTCAACAGCACCAAATTTATAATTTGTAAACTTTTGAAGAGAAATTGGGCAAGGCAGAGGCAGTGCAAGGATCAGGTATGGGGGGGGGGGCTGTAGCTCCCCTATGTGGAAATTCTAGCCCCTCCCCAATCAGAAAAGTGGAATGTACCGGGAAAAATTATGTTTTGTAATGACCTTGTTTTGTAGAGCTGGTAAATGCACTGTTGCAGACAATAAATTCTGCACCATTTCATGAGAGCCAAAAAATTCAACATTTTCATGTGTGAGCATAAGTTGAACGAACAAAAAAAAATTTTACTGTTTAAAAGATTATAGCCCCCTGTTGGGAACCTGATATTCCTTGTCGGGGACTTGTTATTCCTTGTAGGGGAACTCGTGGAGCATCCGGCCTCACACAAGCACACTGGTACCCACACACCTCCATTTCCTACACCACTGCATTATTAAAGCACAGCATGGATGCACCATAAAGCTGTTATTTATTTTTTGCAGTATCTTTATTAACACACCAAATTTTCATAAAGGAAATTGTAAGAATAAAAATCATTATTTATATCAATGACACAAAATTGTTTATTTTTTTCATGTAATTTCTTTCTCTGAGTTGATGAAATTTCTTTCTCTGAGTTGATGCAACTTCTGTCTCTGAGTTGATGAAGAAACAAACTTCCCGACATACCAATCCTTTCATAGCAAGGCCTGAAATCCTTCCTAAAGTAGTAGTACAATGTTTATAAATTAAAACAATCTTTAGCCAAAACTTTTAGGCCAATCATAATTTAACAGCAACATGGATAATTTTATGATTGAAAATCGCTGGCAAGAAAATGCATATTTCAAGTCATATATATGTATTAAACTGTACAGTATGCTACTAGCTTGTAGTATGCAGTCACACATGATACCTTACAGGTAGTTGTATATCCTACAAACAATCGTTATCTGGGGGATACCAAGATTAAGGTGGGGGGAGGGGCGAGGGGGGATGCACATACTATTTCAGGTTTTTATCTTCATTGTCTCTGTCTAAATGCCGCATTTTACATGTGCCAAATCTAATGTGAATTTACATCGTTTGACTTGAATAATAAAGTTTCACTCAAATAATAAAGTTTGACATTTTGATTTAAATGTTGAATTTATGTACATACCGGTACGTAGTAAACATATGTAACTTATACATTTGTCCAAAGTGGCAAAGTAATTACTTTGCAATTATACCCACTGTTCACGCCTATGGGCCTCGTTTCAATGTTTGTTGACGACCAACCCACGCGCCTTCAATACTTGTATTTGGGAACTGTATATTAAATGTTACATGAAGTATACACCACTCACAATAACGAACGGTTTTATTTTTCACGCTAAAAAGACAAATATTCATAAACTTACAAAGCGAAATAATACAGAAATACTAAAACATACATATTAACCTTACACAATACATAAATGAATAAACTGAGACTGTCTAAGTTAAAATATTACGACCGTCACATATACGGAAATAAATCAGTCAAATTATGCTCATTTTTACCGTTCAAAAACAGTCAAATCTTCTTGATTCAAGCCAGCCAACAGAACAATACAAAATCGACAATAATAACAAGTTTTCGCGATCCAAAAGCGTCCAAAACAGCGTCCAAAACGACCAATTTCCTTTTAAACAACTCAGTTCTCTCAAAACGTCACGACAACGTTTGTTCTTGAGCCCGCAGTATAATAAACGCATACTTCATATAAAGTTTCTCAACGCCCGTCCATCACTCCTCCCCATCGTTCGTCTCGATTTCATCGGGGCGACGATCGTATCCGCATTCCTCTTCGAGAAGACATAATTTCGTAACTGGTCTGGTATAAACACCATTGTTAGTCTTCACTTTGGAAGCTCGAACTCGTCCATCTTTTCCAGGACATGTTTCAACAACTCGTCCTAACTTCCACTCGCCACGTAGAAGACCCGGATCTGCTATAAGAACAACGTCGTTAACTGAAATGTTCCTTTCCTCGTTCCGTCACTTCTTCCGGGAGATGAGATTAGGCAGGTAGAGCTTCACCCACTGCTGCCACACGACATTTGCTAAGTGCTGGGTCTGTTTGAAACGACCTTGAAAGTTTGGTCGGCTGTACTCTCCGAGTGGGACAACTGGCAAGCGTCGATGTAACCAAAAGTGGTAGGGTGTCAGAGCCTCTATGTCCTCAGGATCGCTGCTGACGTATGTTGTCGGTCGTGAATTGACGAATCGCTCGACTTCGGTAAAGAGAGCGGACAACTGCAAATCTGTAGGGTTACTTCTGTTTGGTCCTCCTTTTGGATTCAGGGTACGGTTAAGTGCTGTCTTGACTGACTTAACTAAGCTCTGGTGTACTCCTCCCCAGTGAGGGCTTGCAGGGGGTTGGAACTTCCAGGTAATTCCTTCTCCAATTATAGCTAGACGGGTTTGAAGTTTTTCACTATGATTTAGTTCTCTAACCATCGACTTCAATTCAGAGACTGCGCCGACGAAGTTCGTCCCGTTGTCACTGTAGATAGATCGTGGCTCTCCACGCCTCGCCATCATCTTGTAAAGAGCTTGTAGGAAGTTAGGGTTGGATAACGATTCAGCAACTTCCAAATGAACACATCGAGTCGTCATGCATGTAAACAGGGCGCCGTATCTCTTCGCTTTCGTGTTTCGAGTCAACTTGACTTCGATTGGCCCGAAGTAATCCACAGAAGTGTGGTAAAATGCTGGTTGCATTGTAGTTATTCTTTCGATAGGAAGTTCACTTAGTAACTGACTGCCGGGCTTCGCTCGTTCTTTCTTACACTGAGTGCACTTTCTCTTGAAACTCTTGACTTCCTGTCGTCCGCGAATTATCCAGAACTTTTGACGAATTGCGGCCAAAACGTGGTCAGTTCCTCCGTGTTTTTCGAACCGATGATAGCTCCCGACAATCAGCTGGGTCAAACGGTGTTTCTGAGGTAGGAGGATCGGGTGTCGCACTTCGTAAGGTAATTGAGCTCGGTCAAGTCTTCCTCCAACACGGATTACGTTATTCTCGTCCAGGTAGGGGGTAAAAGGCAACAGTTTTGATCGCTTGCTGACACTTTTCGTTCTTTCCAAGGATTGGAGCTCGTCGGGGAATGCTTCTCGTTGACATTGGCGCACTAGAGCAGTCAGTCCAACTCGTAATTCTTGTACGGTTACGACACTACTCTTTCGTTTCTTTCCTTTACATACATTGAAGAAACGATGAGCTAACGCTGCTACTCGCTGTGCTTTCGACAAGGACGAACATCGCTCCAAATCGACGTCAGCATAGACGGGAGCACGCTCTGGGTTGGATTTGGCAACGAATATTTTGCTTGGTTTAATTTCTTCGTGTTGCTGTAACTCTTCGACAGGCATTTCCTTTGGCCAGTTATCTTCTCCTTGATAAAGGAAATCAGGGCCAGTGAACCAACGCACGGGAATTAATTCCGACCGCTCATCAAATCTCGAACGGGTGGCACAGTCACTTACATCAGTCGGCCAGGTAAGTGGCGCCAGGACTTTGGGTCTGTCAACGTTTGGATTTCGCCAACTCGGTGAGCGACGAACGGCTTATACCAAACTGCAGTAGATCGTATCCAACCAATAACACATTTACTGTCCGTCCAAAAGAACACGCGGTCAATGTGTCGTGTCATAGCTTCTTTAACATAATTCGCTAGGCGAGCACCTAGAAGGGCAGCTTGCAGTTCAAGCCTTGCTACACTTAAAGCTTTCTTCGGAGCTACTTTCGTCTTGGCCATCAGGAAGGAGCACCGTACGTCGCCATCGTAATAAATGCTTCTCAAATAGACCACGGCCGCGAAAGCTTCCTCCAAGGCATCACAGAACGTATGGATCTCTGACTCGATCACGTTTTTCTTCTTAGGTTGTATACATCGTGGTACACTTACTAGCTCTAACTCTGGCAGCCTTCTTAACCAAGCTTTCCACTTCGTCAGGTGGGAATTAGGAATGGGGTCATCCCAATCCAGACCTAGTAGGCGCAACTGTTGTGTTAGGATCTTTGCTTTGATAATGAATGGCGAAGCTAACCCAAGGGGGTCGAACACGCCGGCCAGCTTGCTCAGGA